TTGTGAACATTGAACCAATGTCGAAATCGTACAGCAGACAACCGCAAAATGTGATTTTGTACAAAGATCTATCGGATTTCAGGCTCCAAGCATGAATTTATCCGGTATGTATACTTGTGTTATTTCCTGTAATCATTGTATATATCTATAACAAAATTTTCGCGAAAATTAAGGTAAAGACATTTTTCATTAAGTTTCCAAATGGCCGGGGTTTTAACAGCAATTTAATAAAATTAGAGATTATTTTGAAGTGTGAAGAATTGCAATTTGAAGAGGGATAGATTGGCATAGAGAAAGGGCAAGCAGTACGTAGGATCCTAATAGCGCTATATAGAGTCAATAAATATTGTGACAAAGGAGGTTGTAAATTATATTTTTATTAAATCTTTAGATGAACAAAAAAGTAATATGTGTGCAGATATGGTACGATTTAGCGTTGGTCAGTGAGATGCCTAAGCCAGAAATATTCACTAGTGGATCTGGGGGGATAAAAAGTAAATTGCAGACCGCACTGCCAAAATCTCTTTATCTGAAAGATGCAAAGCAATCGACTCATACACTCTACCAAATTAATTTGCATCCTGGTGAGGCCACCTTTCCATAAGTAAACTAAGAGGTAAACAAACCGGAGGAAAACTAAAAAAAAAAAAAAAAAACGTGCAGGAGATAAACACTGATAGTAAAATCAGAGACATAAAAACAAAGTTATCTTGCAATATTTCTCTAGACAATCGGAATAATTTTATTCTCCCAGCCAACAACGATATTAAATAAACTGTTTAACATTTGGTACAATCTTACAGTTCAGAAAATCTTGGGAGCTTTCCCGCGTTTAAGTTGCAATAATAGTCTCTATAAATAATAACCCATCCACAAATGTTTTTGGTATTCTGTTCAACATAGCAGCTTAGTAAAGTATATTCTAAACCAAACAATTCCACTACCCGTTCGGCAGGAGGATTCACCAGATGTACCCGTTACACTTTTATCCTTGGCTCATCCTTCGTCGCCGCTCGTATTAAACTAAAAAGAAAATATCTAGTCAAACCGATCCTGCTTTCTTCGGGACCCGTAAAACCCTGCTAATATATGTAAAGAGCTCATCGAACTGATCCTCCTTCCTCCTGGAAGATATCCATTTACCGATTCATATAAATCGTTTACAAACAGCTTCTGAAAACCAACCAACAAACAAATAAAGGAAACAAATACGAATATTTGACTCATTTCCAGTCAAATATTCTGATCTTTGTAAGCCTCGTGAGATACCAACGGCATTTTGTTCTTTGTCGCATGCAATCTTTAGTAAAATCTTGAACTGTCTTTTTTTAACATAGGCATCTCATGACATGGGATTTTTTCTATGAATCAAATTTTGAAATTATTTGTTTGCTGATGTATGAGTAAATATTTGAAATCAGAAGTATCTAGAAGTAATTTTTAAATATTTATAATTAAAAGTGACATACAATTTGGTAATATAAACATACGGAATGATGAAAATGAATACTCTTAAATTAGAATCGATCTGGAAATTCCTGTATCTCCGTTCTTTCAGTTTTTTTCTCAGTTATAAGATTCAGGTTATTACTAGTTTCATTTTTTAGTGTAGTAAAACTTTGTGTATAAGTGCCAGTGAAACATGTTAGAAATTAGAATAATTATCTCCTTAATTTCACAAGTGAGCAAAATTTAAGTAACAAATTGATTTTTCAAAATTCAACCACATAATTGTTGAAAGGAGTTTTCGCGATCAGTACAAAGAAGATCCAACTCTGTAGAAAGGTGATGCATATGCAGACATCAGCGCCATGAAGTCAGAGCGTTAAAGAGTATGTCAGGGAACAGAAAAGGTGAGAAGTCAGCGCGCGATGTGCAAGACAACTGAAAAAAGAAAGGAAGCCGCAATTTCAGGCATTCTACTGCAGATGGAAAAATTTTACGTTATAGACAAATTACACTCTAGCAGCTTCACTGACAAATATTCAATTGGCAAATCCTCTTGTCCGAAAAGTTGCCTATATCTTATATAAGATGTTAATGGCTTAAAAAGTGTTCTCGTCTGTTCTTGGAACAAAAGTACATACAAGATTGGTTTAAAAAACACTATAACAATGACAGAACTAAAAATGTAAGTAAGGTAAATACAGTCTTGAAAGAAGATCCACGACATTTATACTTTTGCTTAGAGAAACAACATTAAAATATAACTAGAGTTTTTTTTGTAATTTTTCCGAATAACGTTCATTTATCATTTAGATCCATTTGAACTTTTATTAACTGGTTACTTAAAAATAACTTCTTAAACTCTAATTCTCTAAAAAGCCTCTAAAAAGTTTACTTAAATATCTAATAATGTAAAATTTCATGGACGGTTTTTGACAGAGTTACTATCATAATTTTTGCGCGTTTTCGAACAGTACATTTTCTTTAATCTAAGGACGAGCCAGTCTCCCTTAGAAACTCCTCCACGAAGGCATCCCTTCCCTTAGGCAGATAGCCCTCGAGGCTTTGCCATAATCACACACACATCATCATCATCTTTGATCTAACTTTATTTATATTCAGATTTGATGCAGATATTTCAATATTATAACCTTGCCTGTTATGGGGGCATACGTACGTACAAACAAATGTACCTTTATATGTGTATCGATAATTACTATTATTATTATTACTACTACTACTATTTGTGCAAATTTGAAATTCTATGTATATTTCATACCATTATTTTAAATTTCTAATTTCCGGATAAGAGTCATATTTTTCAGTGTTTAATTGATTTATTATTAGTAATATTTTCAGTTCTCTGTAAGCGCACATTGAAATTAAGCTAATATTTATACACTCAACATATTTAATATGTACTTACAAACATTTGTAAGAGGTAAAGAATGGTGAAATTTAAACCCTTATATTTGTATTTCAAAGTGTACCGTGTCTTAGCAAATACTTTTTATTTCTGGGTTTGACCATTTACTGGAACTGTTTTGCCGAATTGTATGGTGTATTTGGAACTCGGGGAATATTTGGAATTCACTTACCAAATGGAAGGATTTTGCACAGTATTCTGATTCTCCTCAACTCCTTATTATTTGGTGAGATCAGAATAGCCAATAGAACTGCCACTAATAGGCTGGAGTTGATTTGGACTTTATATGCCCTGAAGTTGTCTTAAGGATTTTATTTTTTCTCACTGAAGGTTTGTCGTTCTATTGCGTTTATAGAGCTCCGAATATAAGAATTTTGGACAGAAGTAATCACAAAATTTTTAACTCGATTCTAATATATCCGTTGATGAGTTGCAAAAGCATAAAATATCTGTTCGGGCTCTACTCGAATTACTTTTATGTATATTCTTGGCTTTTTCATAATGTTTTCATTTAAACGTTTAACAAAATTTAACGATTTCTTTCATTCGGAATATTATTCAAAAGACTTTAGAGATATTAGGTTATATCGATGGAAGAACGTGAAAAAAGTGCAATAAACTCACCGGAATTCGAAATCCGGACCTCCTACACACGTCTCGGATATGCTTCCAGTTACACACGGAAAGGAGGGAGAAAATACCTTATATAACCCTCTTTTAATAGGCGACTGGGGATGAGGTGACCCGATCGCCAAATTTTGGTAGTGACGAATTATTACGCGCCTGCTTTGTTTTAATTTGAACCTCACATGTAGTCTCGAGTTATATCGATGCAAGAATGTGAATGGAATTCGAACTCCCACCCCACAAATGCGCGTCAGACGTGCTTACTGGTATATGACGAAGCCACGCGGAAAGGAGAGAGAAAATACCTTATAAGACTTACCTGAAAGGTGATATATATAATTATTGTTCTACATTTTCTGAGGGAAGTCATATATTCCGTTTCTTGCACGGTTCACCAAAGCTGTATATTTGAAGAATTAAACATTCTGCATTTCGTTACTGACTATATTTCTACACTGATCCCTCATGTTGTGAATTATATCTATTCTAAATGATACTGAAATTCGCTAAAATTGTTTTGAGATATTACGAAGCTTGTATTTGTATCGCGGATTCTGAACATCATTATATGAACCCAGAATCAAAGTGGTAAGAATTTTAGCGGTGGTAAAAAATGTTTAATACAATTTAAAAGTAAGTTTTGTTAATTTATGTAATTTTTATGTAATATAATTTACATTAATTCTGTCTTTTAATTATGTTTCTTCAATCATCCACAGCAGAATGTAAGTTAGATAGAATTTAAAAAGCGAACAAAGGTATAAATTCAGGAAGAAAGTTTGGAAATCAAAGCAACAACTCTGTTCTCGCGAAAATCATCCACTTGCATTTAAAGTTGATTTCAGTGAGTGTTTTCAGGCATGTTCCCAATTTTGATGATTAGAAGTCTCATATAATTTAGAGGACGGTTGATAGATATTTAATTTATTTACACTTATCAAGAATTTAATCTTTGTAGTACTTCAAGTGAGCGAGGAATAAGGCCATTACCTTTTTAATGTAGTGTTTGTTATTCTTAAACTAAATAAGCTTTTAATTTACTTTTTATACTCTATACGTATTTATCAGAGGGCAAGAGCGATATATCATCTATTGCATATGAAGGTTAAACTAGAAGGTTAACTATAAAAAATTAGGTAAAAGTCTAGATAATATTTTCAGACTTAAATTTATTTTTTAATTAATTGCGTAATATGTCATCATTAAATATTTCTTCAGCTCTTGAGTAAAATGACTTGATTATTTTATATACGTGGGACAAATATGATGTTCATATTCTCTTTTAAAAACTTCTAAATACCTATTTATATATATTTCTTAATATATTAGTCCATAGCACGTAGCAGTTTCTTTATAATTTGCTTATATAATAATACATATACATAAGATGACTGACATGAGTTTGTTACATTCTATCAATAAATCAAAAAAAAAAAATAAATAAATAAATAAAAGGATCCTGTCTGAAATTCGCAACATATATTTTATGTACAATTAAGAATTTTAATGCAAAAATATTTCACACTTTATTCATGTTGACAATGTTATTCATCACAGTTGAGTATTTCAAAATTTCACTTCAGTACACAAAATTTATCTAAAACAATAGTGAGGGCGGTTGAAGATTAAGTCCAAATATTTTACTTCTTCCGTACAGTTGGCCCTATTGTTGATTAAAGTTCATCAAATATTTCATGGGGAGATTGGTGTATATATAGCCTTATATGAATTCTGTGAAAAGACTTTGAACTCAGCAAGGCAAATATCCTGCAGTATCGAGCAATCTTCTTTCATTCTTCTGGAAACATGATTTAGTTGGTGCGAAATACAGCTTTTTATGTATGTCCATCTATGCCAAATCTGAAAAACATGAGTAAAATGTTTTATGAATTTTTTGAACCATATATAATATTAATACGATTTTTAAACTGATACAAGTTTGTAAAACATAAACAGTGAAATATATCCTGCATTCCTTTATTTTTTTGCTGTTAAAATATTATGTATTAAAAGATGTGTTTGCCGTCAAAACTATGGTTAATTATTCAATGGCTATATATATAAATATATATTTCGCAAAAATTTAAATTGAAATTCAAAAAAACTTCATAGAATCCTATAAATGTAGAATAAGAATACTTTAAAATGTAAAAATTATTATAAACCATCGCAAGAAAAAGAAAAGGATTTAAAAGAATAAGAAAAAAGACGAATCCGATCAACTTCAACATAACATCGTCAAGAGGAGGATTGTCGAGCTCAATTACAATTCTCCTTCCAGAGTAAGATCCTTGTTTTTCTGTATCCGGATTAGTTTTTGAACCACTTCAATATATTTTTAAATCTTAAAAGTTAACCTGAAAATTCTAGTCCTTCTCAAAGCGAAGGAAAATGGCAAAAATAAAAGTAAGATCATTAAAAATACCATCCAGCAAAATTTCTTTTGTTTTGGTGACTCATGGTGAGTAGATACAAACAATAAAATCTGCTTACGTGCATCGGAATTTGTTTATGACTCAACCTGATATTTTATAATTTTATATCAAAATTAATGCTTAATAACTCTAAAATCTGTGAAGTTACAGGTTTTGTCCTGTAGGTAGATGCACATTTAAGACACAATAAAACGCCGAATAAATACAATTCGGAAGTCAAACAAAAAAAAAAAAATCAGCGTTATATTTTCAAAAATTTCGCAGGACTAGTTTCGATGTTTTTTACCGAACCAACATCCTCAGCTGCAAAACCGCAAATGAACAAGATAGGAAATAATGATTAGATAAGATAAGAAAGCCTGGACAAGAATAAGCAAGTGGAGCCATCTGTTGGTGAAACAATGGCGCCACTTGCTTATTCTTATTACGCTGATTTTTGTTGTTTGACTTCTGAGATGCACATGTTTTTCAATTTTATTCAAACACCACTAATGTACACTGCGAGGGAAAAAAAAAAAAAAAAAAAAAAACAAGTGGGGGGGGGCAGTTCTATATCTCCCGTTCTTCTGGGCCGATTGACGAAATTCAGCTTGAGTGTTTCATGTCTCGAAAGATATGTATTAGATTTATAGTATTGTTCTAATATAGTATTTTGACAGAAAATCAGACTTTTTTTTCTACCTGACATGCCAATTTGTTTCCATATATCGATTCTACGCTTCAAATTATGCCAAACTGCCAAGTTTTGTAAAAATTGCACGAGTAATTTTTAAAAGATTAGCTCTCAAGTTTTAGCACCTTAATGTTAATTGAATTTCATTGTTAATATCTCGTTTTCTTTTAAACTTACTTGATTCCTTCTTCCATAATTCGAAATTTAGGCTTAATCCAAATATAATTCGCTCTTTTTTATGATTTATTTTTAAAATTTGTAATTTTAAATAGATTTTATGAATTTTTGTAATTTTTTTTTATTATTATTATAACCTATAAAAGTTTTTGCCATCGTCTTAAAGTAGGATGTAGTTCTAAGGCATGCACCTAGCAAAAAATTAGAATTTTTTAATCAAAGATTCTCTAACATATACACGAAATTACATATTTTGCATGTTATTGAAATTTGCTATCGTTTTTTTTTTTTTAGCGATGATAATGCCGAATGTGGTTTATGCACTTACCATATTTAAATGTGGTTACAGTTATTAGAAAGTATGAACGGTGACTTTTTCCCGCTCTTGTTTAGTTATATATATATATGTGAAAAAAAAAAAAAAAAAAAAAAAAAGGAAATAGATTGCTATAGATTAAGAAGTTCGCCAATTAAATTAAACTCTGTAAATTTCGCACCAAATTTTATAAAATTTAATATTTAGGCATAATTTGAGTCCTAGAATAGATTTTGTGTAAAAGTACACTGCTCGACATTGAAAGTGCAGCACTAAGAAGGAGTGGCCCAGAAATTTATGGCAAATTTTCGAGTAGACGCACGTCACTGATGTGAAATGCGCTGCTCGCATCATTCTATGCGAATGATGTGAAATATGCAGCTCTCCGACCGACGCCCGTGAAGTAAGATATAAAGGGAAGGAACGTTCCTGAATGAACAATATTTCGTGTCGTTATTTGTGCCAAACGAATTGTCGAAGAAAGTTGGTTTTTGTCTTGGAGGATACGTACAATAGGAGAGAATGCCAGGCCGCCGTCAATGAAGGCACATTCAACAGATAGACGATTTTGCGAGGGATACGGTGATCGGACTGAGAAGGGCGGATTGGTCCTTACGTCAAATCGCTGCTGATACCCACATGAATGCAAGTACGCTGCATCGGCTATGGCGAACATGGTTGAAACAAAGAAATGTGGGAAGAAGGAGGGGTGCAGGTGTAGCCAGAGTGACGTCAGCACACGTGGATCGTCGCATCCGCCGACACACTATGGCGGACCTGCAAGTCACTTGTACCGCGATTCTGCAGCATGTGCAAGATACCATGAATGTGCCCGTGTTGACCAGAACCATTTCCCGTTGATTGGTTGAACGTGGCCTGCACTCACGGCGTCCGTTAAGAAGCCTGCCATTGACCCTACAGCATAGACGCCAACGTTTGGAATGGTGCAGGACTGGAGCGATGTGGATGACAGAATGGAGAAACGTCGTGTTCTCAGATGAGTCACGCTTCTGTTCATCCAGTGACAGTCGCTGCATACGTGTGTGGCGTCGACGTGGAGACAGATCTAATCCGGCAGTAACTGTGGAACGCCCCAATGCGCGACAACGTGGCATAATGGTTTGTGCGCTATTGCCTACGATTCCAGGTCACCCCTAGTTCGTATTCAGGGCACTATGACGGGTCAACGAGACTTGGATAATGTACTGCAGCCGGTGGCAATCCAGTACCTTCAAGAGCTGCCTAATGCAATTTTTCAGCAGGATAACGCCCGACCACACAGTGCTCGCATCTGCCAACATGCTATGCAAGGTATACAGATGCTTCCCTGGCCACCATACTCTCCTGACCTGTCACCAATCGAACATGTGTGGGATGTGGTTGGACGCCGTTTGCAGACTCTGCCCCTGCCTCGTTCAGAAGACGAATTGTGGCAAATGGTTGAAAGGGAATGCAGAGCCATCCCTCAGGACACCATCCGCACTCTTATTGACTCTATACCTAGACGTGTTTCTTCGTGCATCGCTGTCCGCGGTGGTCCTACTAGATGTAATTACTCCTTCTATGTACATCGTACCATGCTTTATTTATAATACTAGTTACATATGTTAATGCTGTTCCTTAAATAATGGTGCGCGTGGTGCTGTACTGATTAACCACTATGGTAAAGGGACAGTGCCCCCCGTCCCCCGTCACTTCTCACTTATCCTACTAAGCCGACGCCGTTCTTGTTCTGGATACTGACTATCATTTTGAAATAAAGATCACTTATTGCTGCCTGCTGTCTTTTTTCCAAATTTCCTCACTTTCTGACCACTCCTTCTTGGTGTTGCATTTTCAATGTCGAGTAGTGTACCTATATTAGAACAATTCTGTATATAAATCTAATACATATCCTGAATCGCGCTTTCGAGACACGAAAAACGCAATTTAAATTTCGTCAATTGTCCCACTAGAACGAGAGATAATAGATCTGTCCTATTTTTTTTTTCGCACTGTACATTTTAATAACATTTGAAGTTTTCACTTTTTAAAATGTTTCACCTTGAGATAGAAAATATAGAAAAAAAATTGGAACTTTAAAAAAAAAAAAAATTAGTTGGATTACCACTCATATTTTATTGCTGCTATTTAGTGCGATAGTGCATTTAAATCGTGGTTTAATTTTTAAAATTTAATTTTATAAAATAGCTATATCATTGTAAAGAAATAAGGTTCTTTACTGTATTTAATGAGCCTTTTTTGTTATTTGATTAATTGTAGAATTTTTTATAGCTTACATAACATTAATCTAGATGAGTAAATAGATCTTATAATACATTCAACCGTAGTCTTTTTGCTTTGTATATTATACTTAATTTTTTAATAAAAAGCCATTTTTCCGACTGATATGCGCTTTCCATTCTTTACGGTCCTGAACATTTAATATTAAGGTAAAAACTAATTTACTAATTTTATGTTTACTTCCTTGTACGAAGTAAAATTAAAGTATTGTAATTGCGAAAATTTTCAGGCACCATATTTCAACGAAAATATCTATTTTGACCGCTATCGAATGCAATTTAACGATGCTTCTGCGTGACATCTCTACGTAAGGACAGAATAAAAGACTATTTTTTTCCAAAAAATTATAAAACTGCTTTAGAATGAATTCTGAAGAGAATTTTTCGTGGTGTCTGTACGTACGTATCTATTTACCTCGCATAACTCAAAAACGAGCGGGCTCAGAACGTTGAAATTTATATATAGGACTGCTTTAACATGTCGATGTGCACCTCGTATTTTGGTTGCAATCGGCTGCACTAAACGTATATAAATATATATATATATATATATATATCCACTCTGTTACCCGGTTCAGTGATCTCAGTTTCTTTACTCTTATATGTTTGTGAATTGCGTATTTTTTGCTTTAAAAATGACTGAATTATGTTGTTCATATCTTCCGGTTAAGGTCTTTATGCCTTTAGGAAATCTGCAATCAATATTTGTAGAATTATCAACAATTTAAAAGCTGTTTAAGTGCGGTTAAAACTAATTTTTAAATAACATGGCGGACATATTTGTTTACATTTGAAACAGCAGAAAAGTAGATTTGTTGCCAATCTAGGGAGACTAAGTTTTGCAACAACAAAGATAACACCTTCATTTATTATTACGAATTAAATCATGCTTAATCCTTTCAGGAATTTTTCGAGAAAATAAGTGTTTAAGTTTTACTTCAAAATTTTTAATATAGATATTTCGAGTTTTTATGCAT